GGATACTGGTTTCAAAACAAGTCTAGGTGTCAAATCTATTTAAGAGTGGCTCAAAATATTTAGTCGACACCGATTTCTTCGCAAAAATTTTTATGGAGTGAAAATTGGCTATTTTGAATTTTTTTAAAAAAATGGATTTATAAAATAAATTTTGAGTTGTCACACTAACTCCTCCACAGCGAAAGCGTCGGCGACAACCGCAACAAACCCAACAAAAAATCAAGAAAATCTAGAAGAGGTGAGAAGAGGTGGAGGCGCTATTAGCGGCGAGCGTGGTGATGACCATGGAATCCGACGACCTGTACACGAACTTCAAGAAATCCATGGAAGAAATGGGGTGGATAGCCAAGAGATCAGTGATTGGGAATCGTTGCAAGAGCTTCTATGCTGGTACTTGAAGATGAACGAGAAGGTGAACCATGGGTTAAATGGTTGAGATAGCAATCCAAATGGCCAGCTTCTTCAAACGCTAACGACGACCACTTTGTTGTCGGGATCATTGCCAGAATATCGTTACAGAGTCCCTAAGCTTAGTGACTTGTGATAGCAGGTCACTAATAGGTTGTTGGGTTTTATTGCACTAAAATGAGATGTTAATGGGTTTAATTTCCACTTTAAAATGTTTAAAGGTCTAATTGACTTTTGAGTTAAAGTTCAATGGCCTATTTGACCCTTTTCCCAATAAAAAATTATTGTTTTAATATGATAACATCCCTGTCACCAAACTAACAGGTAAATAGGTCACTTTTGGTTCAATTGTATCATTTTGCGTTGTTCAGGGACCCAATTGTATATCTTTTGAGCTCAATGGCCTAATTGCATTTTGGTGTGTAATTCGATAGTCTATTTGACCCTTATTCCTTATTTTTATAAGAGCTAGTACTTCAAAACAAGGGAGATGAATAATGTTGATAAATTATGGAAGATCACCTAGATCAATCACCAAAATAAGTGTTATCCAAATTAATTAGTATTTAAGTTTTTAGATTATTATGAAATATTTTGGAATTTAAAATTTTAGATTATTATGAAATATTTTGAATACTATTATAAGAATTACAAATATTTTGATAAATTTATCATTTTCGTTCAATTTTATCAAAATGTCTTCAATCTATAGATCTATATTTTATAAAATTCATATAAATAAATAGATAAGTTACATTTTAAATTTAAATGCTTTAATTTCAATTCCCAGGCATTTTAAATATTATGACAATTACAAATATTTTGATAAATTTATCATTTTTCGTTTAATTTTATCAAAGTGTCTTCAATATATAGATTTATGTTTTATAAAATTCATATAAATAAATAGATAATTTACATTTTAAATTTAAATGTTTTAATTTAAATCCCCATAGTTAGGCATCACAATCCAAATTCGAATTGTTTTCTTTTAAGAAAATTGTTAGAAGGTATCCGTATCAGGTTTTATAGAATTTTGCAATTAGCTCTTTATGGATATAAGAACATAGAACCACTAGAGCATTTATGGAATGGTGAGGGAGTACCATCTCAAATTGCTCCAAAGGGGCAGCAACCAGCAGGGCATGAACTATTAAACTACTCCCATTTGATGATTGAGTTTAATTTGAAGTCCTATATTATCATTGAACTAGTAATTGTCCCGTGCGATGCACGGATAAAAATTATACAATATGAAGTTAAGTTATTTTAATTAGATATATAAATGTATCTCAAAGTAGTAGACAAAGTAAGACATGACAAAAGTTAAGAAACATTGAAACAAAATTACAAATTATTAAATACTTGGTGGTACAACTAAATTAATGCAAAAAAAAAAATATTTAAATAAACTATTTAACACTTTAAAAGTAGATAAAAGACAAATTATCAAAAGAAATGTCCAGCAACATTTGTTTTTTCAGCACACAAGAGCATATGTGAGTTATGAAAGGTGAAGGTTCCACCAAGCACACTTATTCTCCAAAAAAGTCCTCAAGAAATCTTACCAATAAGCTCTTTCTCATTACATGGTGTATTTGAGTATTTTGGATTGGTTATTATTTTCATATTTTGAGTATTTTGGATTTTGTTTTTGATTCAAAATAATGTATAAGGACATGTACATCTTTATCGTGGAAGACAACTTCTTTGTTTAGACGACGGAAGACAATTTCTCACTACTAAGCACATACCACCCTTACTTTGACAGGGCTCTTATTTTTGAAGGTTTATAAATCACGACCAAGAACGTACATACCATGCTTGATAACATCAGTATTTTTTCCAAGGAGAAGTACTCGCCGGAATTTTGTTACCGCCCAGACACGAAAATGACTTGCACATGTTAAAACAGTTTAGATACTTATGGTATTATTGTTCTGTGCAGTTTTCTAAATTAATGGCATCAGACACTATATGCATTTGTATGTAAGTATTTCACATTTTAGAACTGCTTTAATAACTTTCACAGTGTACATAGCTTAGCTTAATACGATATATATATATATATATATATATATATATATATATATATATATATATATATATATATTTGCAAATACTAAAGCATACCATAAAATGAAATCAAACAATGCCTAGGATATTCACATCTGTCAAAGGTATGTTATACCTATATAGTTGGACCAACTAAGTTGGTAAATACCTGAATCTGCAAAGAAATTAAACAGCAGACAGTAATTTTTTTTTTTTTTTTGAGTTTTTGAACTTGAAGTTGTATTTAATTACTCCTGTTTAGCTTGTCTTAATTTTTTTTTTATTTTCTTTTGAATGTTGAATCTTGTATTTGTGTTGCAAAAACAATACTAACTAAACTATTTCTGCAAATGATGATCTTACAATCTGATTACACAGTTTTGTTGCTTACAATTAGGACTTTATGCTTATACAGATAATAAGTAAATAAATAACCAACAAATAAAGTATTATTTGACCAATAAGAGAATATTAAATTCTAAAAATAACTTTTTCAATACATATGATCAATACATCACAATCTCATACTAACACTCTACTGTGGAGAAAAACTACAACCTCATACTAAAGCCTGCTTTATATGTAATCAAAAAGTTAAAAATTATGGTGCAAAAAGTGTTGCACCATGATCACAATTATCTTTCACTACAACTACCTGCTAGTAATAGCAGCCTTAGTAGGTGTGACTCAAAAAAAGAGGATCATACAAATGTATTGATAGCAATTGAACTTGCTGCATTATGTCTGCCTTTTCCATGATTCTTCTCCTTTGTTTATTTCCACTCTTCCTAGTTTCTGTATTCATAAAAATATAGAGAAAATATTACGAAAATATATATATATATATATATATATATATATATATATATATAAACATACCTCTTGATCTTCTACATACTTCTTTACAGGATTTATATATGCAAACTGCAATGCGGACCCATATTGTTGTTCTTGTATTCATTGAAGATATGTTACCGCGAGAACATTAAAACTGTAGTGTGTATTTTGCAGGTTTTTCTATGTTTTTAGAAGCAATCTGATGTTGAAGTGTTTGTCTCCTATACAAAGAGATGTATTTATAAGTAGGTTTAGGAAGTGCTTGTATACCAATCGTCAATTTGTAGATTTACGATTACCTTGTTAAACCAATCGTTAATATTGGAAAGGCCAAGCAGCTAAGAGCATCCACACTAGTGGATAATAGGGGGTTAATGTCAGATGAATTATCTTGGGTGGGGTTAATAACAAATGTGGAGTGGAGTAATTTTACAAGATATTTATCCTGCAAATGTTAAGATAATGTCAGCAAAAAAGAAAAAGTAGAAAGAAGAAGTGAACAATGGCTGTGCGCGTTTGTGCACAGCCCATGCTACACGGGCGCGTGCAATGCACGCGCCGGTGTGGCGCGTCAGGCACGCTGTTTCTTTTCAATTTTTGTTATTTTTTTTTTTCTTTTTTGTTTTTCTCCCTTCCCACATTCTCTCTCCTAATCACTCTTACATTATCCCACAATTCTCTCCAACCATTGTGGATGCTCTAATTAAACATCACCATATTTAATAGATTTAATAGCCGATCATTAATTATTTTGGCTATGTAAACATTCCTAGAACTTCGGGATTCTCCTTCAAAACTGGACGGCAGAATTAATATTTTTAGGAGCCCAATGATATAAAAAATCTGATGTACGCATTTGATATCTATGATCTAAACACACCATTAGTTTAGGTGGGAATTTGTTTGGCTTCAGCATTTACTACTTCTTATCACTAGTACAGAATAGAGCAAAGAAATTCTACTTTTAACTACCCTTCTTTAAACAAGGGTAGTGTATTATTTTTAAAAAAGGGACGGTGGCATAATTGTAATTAAATGAATAAGAAACCGCTACCCTTTCTAAAAGAAGGGTAGTGGTTTAAAAAAAAAAAAAGACGGCAAGAGTTTCCGCTGCCCTTTCGCGTAGCAAAGGGCAGCGGAAACGATATTATAAAAAAAAAAAAAATAAAAAAATAAAAAAAAAAAAAACTTAAATTAGAAAAACCTAACCCTCGTACAACGCGTTCTCTCCTCTCACCGCTCACATCTCACACCCCTCACATCTCACACCGCTCACATCTCACATCCAAGCTAGGCTTCTGCAAATTGATCTCACACCCTCGATCACCGCATCTCCGGCGAGGACACGGCCTCGACCACCGTCTCATCGTCGATTCACCGCCCCACGCCCTCATCCGCCGTCTCCACCGCCACAGGGTCGCCTGCTTGAAATTATTGGAGATAATGTTTCTATTAATTACATGCATGTCTTTACAACACATGACAGTGTTGATGCTGGGACCATTGAATTGGCATTGGATCCAAGGATTAACCGAACTGAGGATATATGGCACATATGTGTTGAGGTAGTAATAGTCATTGCTCTAACATTGCCTTCTTGTGATTTTGAAAGTGAGTAAACAGCTTTTATACTTGCTTTCTGTGGCATGTTGGTAAGGTGATAATTTTCTCCAGGCTTCCATTACTTTCTTACAGCATGGTAATCATCTTTTGCCTATTTGAAATACATTTATTTATGTAGAAAAAAGAAGGGAACTAACGAAACAATGATATTGTGGTATGGCAATAAATAGAGTAACCATAAAAATTGCTACTAGTCTATTAATTAATAGTTATCCTGATTTTCATGGAGACAAGCCTGTGCAGTACCCTGGAGTTCAGATCTAACTCAGAAGTCCGAGTGCACATCTGTATAAAATATGTTCAGCATCAAAATATGACAAGAAGAAATGAGTAGGATAGTGAATTTATTGTTTTGATTAGCTGCTGTTGGCAATGCTTCTTTCAGATTTGTTTATATAGTAATTTAAACTAATTCTAACAAAGGGGAGCAGTTGTGAGTTTCCTCTTTGAAATTGAAGAAATCTCTTGGAGTCTTGGGACCAAGTAAATTCTGTTATCGCCATTTTCCATTTTCAACTACTGCATGAAATATCAACATACTGTTAACAGCTTACATAAAGAATATCTGAGTAAAGTTTTTAGATTTCTCTATCTTTGGAAATGGGGATATATTCTTCTCAGACATACCTCTTTTATGTTATTGCCATTATTTTAAAGTCACCTTGCTTGTTATTCTGTATCTTCAATTAATTATATATGTTTATAATGCATACTCTTAAGCTTTTGTCATGCAGGATCTGCCTCGTAGTGGAGTACAGTATGGCTATTGCATTGATGGTCCTCGGAGTTGGAATAAGGGACATCGATTTGACAGCAGAAATGTTCTAATAGATCCCTATGCAAAGCTAATTGAAGGTTGTCGACTTTTTGGAGATGTCAGCAATAGGATGTGCACATTTTATGGAACTTATGATTTTGATAGTTTGCCTTTTGACTGGGGTGACAACTACAAGCTTCCAAATATTCCTGAGGTAGATTAAAATGAGTTTCTTGAGTGCTCTACTTCCACTTGCTAGCCTGCAGATATGAAGATAACTTTAGTTTCCTGTCAAATTACTTAGCTTAACATTAGATATTTAAGCTTTGCAAGATGCCTGAAAATTTTATTTGTGTAGCATTACATGCTCATGCATACCATGGCATTTGATTCTTTTTTTACGTTATATACGTTCAGTTTAACAGCACTTACTGATTCTTCAGATGCCGTGCTACATCTCATTGTCCTGCAATTTTTTTTTTCCTGTTTGTAGAAAGATCTTGTAATATACGAGATGAATGTCCGTGCTTTTACAACCGGTGAATCAAGTGGCCTGGATCCAGACATAAGAGGGAGCTACCTTGGTGTGATTGAAAAGGTGATGACTGTGACCTTTTAGTTTCACATAATTCACCACAATTGTATTGAACACAGTATTGTTCATCATTGGCATGTGAAGATTCCACATCTTTTAGAGCTTGGTATCAACGCAGTTGAGTTACTGCCTATTTTTGAGTTTGATGAATTGGAATTTCAAAGGAGGCCAAATCCACGAGACCATATGGTAAGATTTGATTGACCACCCTTTTATCAATTAGTCTCTTCATTACCTGTCATGACTCATGAGTAACTCTGCTTCTGTGTGGTATAATGCATGGGAAATTTGTATTTTGAAGATAAACACATGGGGTTATTCAACAATGAATTTCTTTGCTCCTATGAGTCGCTATGCAACTGCTGGTGGGGGACCCATTAATGCTTCTAGGGAGTTCAAAGAAATGGTCAAGGTTTTGCATGATGCGGGAATAGAGGTGTATTATTTGCTCTTGAATTTCTGTGGGATATAGCTTGTTCTCTACAGTCAATGTGTATGCTGTGTTTTGTGATGCACTAACTTTTTCTCAACTTTATAGGTCATCTTAGATGTTGTCTACAACCATACAAATGAAGCTGGTGATGAGAATCCATACACAACATCATTTCGCGGCATTGACAACAAGGTGATGGCATAATCCAATGATATATCTAGGTTTTCATGGGATTAAATTACTGGTTCAGTTTTTCGTGCGTATGTTTCTTTCAATTCGTTTAGGAGGTTTAGAGGTATAATGTTATCTTTTATGACATTTTTATGCACAGCATTTTAGTAGGATACTTTTATAGGTATTTGGAACACTTTCAGAATTGCTTCAGACCATATAGATTATCAATACTGTCCAGAAAGTTATTGGTGACTCAATATTGGCACTAGATTGATAATGAAAAAGGGAAAACATTTCACATGTTTCTGCTATAAGCCTTTAGTTACAACTTACAATTGATGGTTACCAGACACTTGTAAAAAAAAAGAGATAATTAAGTATTATTATCTTATATTTGTTTGCATTGGTCATCCATGCCCATCAAATTCCAACGTGGAGTTAATTTAGTGCTCTTTTCACCTGTTATATTTACATCTATTCCTGCTTCTGCATCACCTAGAAGAAGAGGTCCTAACTCTTGCAGAAATTTGAAAAAGAAGAGAGCAAATGAACAAATTTCAGTTCAATTTGATGAGCGCAATAGGGCAATTGGACCATATTCGAAGAAGTTTGTGTCAATTACACCTTAGCTATCATTTGTTAGTTGCCTTCTTATGCTTCTTCTTCTGCTTAAAATGGTGAGCTTTGCCCAAATGGTTAGACATTAAATAAAAATGTCTAAGAGTAGTATTGCATATTAATTTATTTAAGTGCTTGATTTTTGAATTGTCAACAACAGTGTTTAAGAGTAGTATTGCATATTAATTTATTCTGCAAGTTGAAGGGAGGCCTTATTTTGTGGTGCTGGCTGGGAGGGATTGTGTATTGAAAGAAAAATGAGAGTGGGGTGTTGTGGAAATAAGAAGAAAGTTGAAAAAAGAAGAGAGAATGGGGAAGGTGAGGGTGATTTGCAGAGCTATATATGGGATCCTGGGGGCCTTGGGAAGCAATTGCAGGCTTCTTGTCCAGAATATGGAATAATATAGGTTGTGCAACTGTCATTTTTGCTTTCTATTATCCGTTGTGCTGTGTAAGAACTGTGAACTGAATTGGTGAAGGCAGTTTCAGCTGGTGTAACAGGTGGTCATAATCTGGCTTACCTCTTAAAGAGCTGAACTGTTTTATACCTGAGAGGGCAGTAGAGTTAAGAAGGTGCATGACTGTTTGCTTGTTTGCTTAGCTTATAATCCTTGCATATAGCATGCACATTGAGGTGGGGGTGCCCATCTATTTGAACTTAAGAAAGGGGAAAAGATTGAATTATTATTGTTCAAATTTAACTTTCTAATGTTGAATTATTATTATTGTTATTATTGTGATGCGATACATGTTTGATATTGTGACAAAATATTCAACTGTTGATAAATTAGATGAGGTAAGTGAATTTAAATAGAAGTATTTATAGTTCAATTATATTTTATTAATTAATATATTTAATAATTTGATTACTTAAATTATTTTGTAGGTATTTGAAAGCAATCCGTACTCTACCGATGAAATTGATGAGATTCGAGACTATTGGGCAAAGTACTTCTTGGAAGAGTGCATGTAATTAACTTGTTTTTTTTTTGCTAGTTGGTTAATTAAAAGTTTTTAGGTAATGCATGTGTTAACTATATATATATTACGATGTATTGTGAGAGTATTGTATGTGTTGAAAGTATTTGGATGGATTATGATAGTGTTGAAATTGTATTATTGATAATATTGTGTTAGGTTGATCGATGGGAGTATTGTTTTTATAATATTGTGTTGATATATATTTAATTTGTGAATATAAATTTTTATAGGATTTTAAAAAAAAAAATTAGGAATTTTAAAAATAATAAATTATTTTTAAAATAAAAAAACAAATCCGCTACCCTTTCTATGAAGAAAGAGTAGCGAATGAAGTAGTAACATAAGCACTAATCCGCTACCCTTCTATCAGAAGAAGGGCAGCGGATATTCTAGTAATCCGCTACCACTCAACAAGGGACGCGGAAACATATAGGGTTTCCGCGACCCTCGTATACGCTACCCTTGTACAAGGGTAGCAGATAGCCCTGTACAAGGGTAGCGGATTTACAAATCTGTACTAGTGTATGGCTATTTTATAATAGAGATGATTGGAGCGACTTAGGAGTTTAAGGGTTCATCGTATATTTTTTTTTTATTAATCTTCTACAACTTCAATCCAAAATGACAATTACAACTTTCTTTTGGTTTTGGAATTTGATGTTAGGTGTGATACGGTAGATATCCAATAAAACTCAGAATTATTGACTCAATCCTATTGTAAATTTCTTAGCAACTTTGCTTGCTTTAATAAAAGGCGAAATTCTTTGACTACAAGGTCTTTGGTATGTTTTTCTTTTATTATTATAACTAGTTTTTCTACGCGCTTTGCGCGAATAAGATAATGCCCAATACTTATTTTTAAATAAGTATTTCAAAGTATACCAATGCAATATTATATAGGAGATGTTCATGCATAGGTAAATAAATATTAAATTTGTTTATTTAAATCGGTAATTTAAAGTATATAAATGCAAGATAATATATGAGAGATTGATTATATATAACTGTCACAAAAATAAATGTTTGCAACTTTATAATAACGTTAATCTAGGTACTAAGTCTAAAAGCGATAATCTAAATAAATACTATTTTTGGTTTAAATTTTTCTAATTCTCTTTTAGGTTAGCATTGTTATTGTTTTCATCTTCCGTGCATGTTTTTTTTTTTTTTTTTTTTTTTGTTATTGATAGTGTGTCATGTGCAATTGAGTTATTGGTAGTATCATAGAGGGATTCATCATACAATTGCTCTCAATAGATGATGATAATAAATAATTCAAAATATAAAGTTACAATAGATATTATTATAATAATATAGTAAAAATTAACTTACAAATTTCTTTAGAAGTTTTCATGCATTGATAAAAGCATAATTGAAATATTAAGTTTTGTTCTCAATAATCAAAAGAAGATTAATTAAACGAAAAAAAAAAACTGAACTTAAATTTATTTTTTTTTAATGAAAGAAAATCAAATGATTATCAAAGTTCCTGATTTATAATCATTGAATGCTATGTATTTAGTCGGACTAATTATTTGACCAAAGTTTATGTTAAATTTTATATTTTATATTTTAATACATTTTAACATATTTGTAGTATATGTTTAACAATTATGCTAACTCTAATTGGAATGAGGTTCGAACCTAAGACATTTCTTATAGAAATTAATGAATAAGTTAAGAATAATAAATAGTTAACGGAATATTTCATTAATAAAGTTTATACTAACAGAATTTAATGTTATTTAAGGAAAAAATAATATAATAAAGGGTAAATAAGGAAAATTATTAAAAATACTAAAATCAAAATACTATGAACCATTCATTTTAAGAAACAAATAGTATCGATATTTTTTTTTAATTCCAGTTAAGGGCCTAACATTATTGGCTCTTATTAAAATTGTAGATTGTAGAAATGTTAAAACAATAATTAATACACACACACACACACACACACACACACACACATATATATATATATATATAAACTAAAATTTTGGTCGTGCTAGTAAAATACTAATTAGTTAAAGAGTTCTACTATGTACTCTTAAATTCTACTTCATCACTTTTATTGACAAATTATTGTACGGACCATGGTCCACATAATTTGAGTGGACCATGAATATAGGGTACATTTTTAATATACTAAATGTACATTATTTATGTACTAAAGGTACATTATTTGATCGTATATATAAAATAGGGTGAATCAACGATTTGGTCCCTCACTTATTCGCGACTTGTCAATGTTGCCCCTGAATCACGTATTCATCAATTTAGTCCCCGAAAATAATTATTTTTCGTCAAATAAGTCCCTCAGGCCGTTTTCCGTCATGTCTCAGGCGAGACCTCCGATTTGCCCTGGGCATTTTGGTCTTTTCACGCCTTCTTCTTCATTAACTCTGACCAAACTTCGCCGGAGAAGCTCAAGTTCGCCGGAAAACTCTATTGCCGGTTTGCTGCTTCGCCGGGAGGGATCAACTGCCAGGGGCGGAGGTCGCTGCTCCGATCTGCTGCTTCCGCCTCTTCGTGATTCCACCAGAGAGAGGGAGGGGAGATGTAGGTCCATGGACCTTGTCTCGCCGTCGGATGTTGTTGTTGCTCAGCTTTTACCGAGAGAGAAGAGATCGAGACGGAGCTAGCCGCCGCCTGTCGCCGCGATCTGCCGGGGGATCGCCGGCGCACCCCCAACGCATCGTTGGATTACAAAGCTCCAATGAATGCCGGAAATCACAATGCATAAACATCATTCTCCAGCAGCAGAGTAGAAGATATTTATTCCCTTATTTAGCTTACTCTTTTCAAAATCACTAAATGCAACATAAGCATATACAAATTTAGCATCGGAGTCATATGCATTGAGAGAGAGAGAGAGAGATAGAGAACCTCGTGAAGTTGATCCATGTCGGATTCCATTTTCTGTTTCGGCGCCTCTTCATTTCCACCCGAAGAAGACGACGATATTGATGTGGCAGGGCTCCCATAATCTTCTTTTGCTTTCTCGTCCTTTACACTACTGTGACTAAGATTTTGTTCCTCTTTCTTCCCTTCTGCCTCATTGATCTCGTTAAGTTCGGTATCGCTAGCAGTCTCGTAACCATCGGAACCATATCCAGATGCCGCCGGCGCAGCCGCAGAGGACGAACCAACGCCTGTCGATGCTTCAGCTGCCTTGACTGGTGGCGGTTTTGGCTTTGACGTTTCGTCAGAGGATGGCACGGCTTCGATCAACACCATTGCTGCGTTGCTTTTTCTCTGTTTGATTGTCTTCCCCTGGAGTAGACCGGGGCGTAAAAATGTTGTAGTGTTGCTTTGATTTGCTTGCGATTCTGGAAAGCTCTGAAATCGGAGGTGAAGCTGACGTCGGCGGAAGAGATGAAGTTCCCTCCGGCGAGCTTGAGCTTCTCCGGCGAAGTTTGGTCAGAGTTAATGAAGAAGAAGGCGTGAAAAGACCAAAATGCCCAGGGCAAATCGGAGGTCTCGCCTGAGACATGACGGAAAACGGCCTGAGGGACTTATTTGACGAAAAACAATTATTTTCGGGGACTAAATTGATGAATACGTGATTCAGGGGCAACATTGACAAGTCGCGAATAAGTGAGGGACCAAATCGTTGATTCACCCTATAAAATAATGTACTTTTAATATACAAATAATGTACATTTAGTATATTAAAAAAATATATTTTTTTATTTATGATTCACACAATTGTGTGGATCATGGCCCATGCAATAGTGATTGCTTTTATTTCTTGAGCAAACATGATATTTTCACTATATAGATCACAGGACAAATATTTACATCATGAATTTATGAAAGGGAATATAAATTGGAAGTAAAAAGTGTATATAGTATTTTCCTTACTTAAAAACCTCTAGCCATTTTTTTTTCCCTGAAGAAACCCTACCAAGAACCATTTGGTTGGATGCCCTAAATAATTTGCTATTCTAAGAAAAACCCTAAACCCTACGCGATTATTGTTTTTGCGAGTTTCAATGGCTGCTCCGAAGCTTAGCAAGGGAAGGAGTAGGGGATTTCAGAAATCTCACCTGAAGAAGAAGGACAAAGCTGGCTTGTTGGAAAAAGTGGAAAAAGAGAATCTCCTAAGTGATGCTACTGAAATAACTGATGAAGAGCTCGAAGACGAGCATGAAACATCCGAAGAAGAAGAAGAGCTGGGAGGTGAATCTGGTTCTGATATGTCTTCTGATGGAGATGATGCTATGGCGGATGATATTCTCGGAGGGAGCGATGATGATGAAGGTTATGATGATGCTGTGGAGGAGGATTCTGATGAAGGCTCGGATTCTGACGTTTCTGATATTGAGAAGAAGGCAAAGATTATTGACAAGGAAAGAGAAAGGGTAGAGGAGGAAGGAGAAGCGGAATTGCAGCTCAATATCAGAGAAGAAGCTGATGAATTCAGGTTGCCTACCAGTGAGGTATATTTCGCTTTTACTTAGTATTTTAGTACACATTTAGAGGCTCAATACTTAATATGGCTTTTATAACACTTAGGAACTTGAAGAAGAAACACAGAGGCCCCCTGATCTCTCTAATCTCCAGAGGAGGATAAAAGAGGGTGAGTTCTATGATTAATATTCATTATTAGCAGATTTTTATTTTTCGGCACTAAAGTTAATTACTCCTTTTTCTCTATTTGGATATTATAATATCAGTTGTACGGGTGCTTTCAAATTTCAAGTCATTGAGGCAAGAAGGAGTCACACGCAATGATTATGTTGACCAACTTAAGAGGGATTTAGCTTCATACTATGGGTACAATGATTTCCTGATTGAGACTTTAGTTGAGGTGATTTGCCAACTTCTAAATTGCTATCTTTGTGTGTGTGTGTGTTTTTTTTTTTTTTTTTTTTTTTTTTTTTTTTTTTTTTTTGGTTCTTTCGGAAGCTGGATTTGTATGCAATTTGATTATTTCTTTATAATCTCAATTATAGATGTTCCCTGTTGTTGAACTTATGGAACTTATTGAAGCCTTTGAAAAGCCTCGACCAATGTGTCTTCGAACAAACACTTTGAAGGTGAGTTTCCTCTCACAGCTTTACTTTTTGAGTAATCTGTTCCTAGTTTGACATGTACATGTATTAATTGTGTGTAATCATTGAGTTAAATTTAGACTCGTAGACGGGATTTGGCTGGTGTCCTGTTGAACAGGGGTGTCAATTTAGATCCGCTAAGCAAATGGTCAAAGGTGAGACTTGCTCTAAAATTGTAAATATATTTGACTAATCATATTGTTATATTTCAAATTTGTGATTTGCCACTACTTGAAATCTCTCTAGGTTGGATTGGTTGTATATGACTCACAAGTACCAATTGGTGCAACTCCTGAGTATATGGCTGGTCATTACATGGTATGCTCAGTCAACTTTAGCCTAATTCTTTTCAATTATTAATTTGATTGTTCGTCATCAATATATTGCACATTAACAGCTTCAAGGTGCAAGTTCATTTTTGCCTGTGATGGCTCTTGCTCCTCAGGAAAAAGAACGCATAGTAGACATGGCGTAAGTAACAGCAACTCCTTTTTACTTGTATACCTGTTGCCTTTGGCTAATTTACTGTATCATGACTATGCTATTCTAAAAATTATGCTAATAGTTAGAATGTGAAAATAGTAAATCTACTAGTTGGACGATAGTTAACACTGAGTATCTGGTGGTCTTCCTCCTTTTATTTATTGACTTTGTGGTTTTCTTCAAAAATCTTATGCAGTCACGGTTATAAATCCATTACCTTGTTTACACCTCTTGCATCATTCTAACTTAATAGTTTGTATGCATTGCAGTGCTGCTCCTGGTGGCAAAACTACTTATGTTGCTGCTCTTATGAAAAACAGTGGTATGTATTGACTAATTGATTAATGAATGTTCTATGCCACTAGATGTGTATTTTGCAATTCTTTTGAGGAATTACTCCTTTTCATCTTATGGATCATAATATAAGCACTTCACAGCACATCATCGTTTGAGTTAATTGCAATGTTTTCTCCTTTCTCCTGATACCAAGATTAGCTAAGAAATAAGAGATTACTTCTCCTTTTTTTTTTTTTTTTTTTTTTTTTTTTTTTTTTTTTTTTTTTGTCTTGGTTGCTTTCCTAACTTTCAATATATTTTCAAAACAAGCACTTGATTATGTCTTATTCGAAATCTTTTACAGAAATCCTTGCTTTGCTGTTTGTAAACTTTTCTTGTTTAAAATTATGTTGGCATTATGCCAAGACTGTTAATTGCACATTATTGTGAATAATATTTGTTGCTTTCTTGCATGTGCTCCCCCCTCTCTCCGTAACTAGGTATTGTTTATGCAAATGAGATGAAGGAGTCAAGACTTAAATCACTTGCTGCTAATTTACAGCGCATGGGAGTAACAAATACCATTGTTTGCAACTATGATGGTAGAGAGGTCAGAAGCTTGCCTTTCTATAATTGTTTTTCCAACTCTTATACAGTTCAGGATTTTTTTCCTCCATTTTTTTTTATTTATCATCTGAATGATTTCCCCCCTTGTCTGCATCATGAATATGCTAAAATTAACAAAGAAGTACTAGTACCTTTTTCTCTCTTCACCTTCCACACAATGGAAAAAGCCTCCATATATCAAATTCATACATTCAAGGAAGTTAATTTGATATCCTGTGAAGCTTATGCATCTTGCAGTCTCCTAAAAAGGTTCATAATTTTTATGAACTGGGTCACTAGGTGATCTTTGTTTTGTTCATGGCATGTGGAAAGTATTCATAGCTGATCACAAGCCATGTATACTTGTTTACTACTAAGGGTGTGTTTGGTTGACAGGTTTAGCTCTAAGGAATGGGTATCAAAGTGATTGGTATCGTTTGGTTGATAGGTTTTTAGAACACTACTATCAATGGGTTTCAAATAGATCCTTAATTGAAAAACCCATACCCAAATAAAATAAGGGTATCATCCCCTTTCATTCCCTTATTCCTTCTCATCCCCTTTGATTAGTGCTTTTAGATTTTTGTTTTTATTTTTTTGTTCATATTGGTGTTTTGGATATCTTTATATTAGAATCAATTGCCTTGATTTTGTGTTCTTGTATTTTTAAAATCTTTATTCCCATTATAGGATCATACATACCCAAACAACATTATTGATAATCATTCTCATTCCACCCTACTACCAAATATGCAAAATACTTTCACTAAAACCCATTACCATTACCAAGTATTTGATACCCATTCCGATTCCGATTCCCATGTGCGAACCAAACACACCCTAAATCTATAAGGGTTTATTCAGATTCAAAGATGTGCTTTGGTTTTCTAGTATCAAGAATTACTATGGGTTTTAGTCCTAGGGTAACTTTGATACTCTTTTGTATGCTTTAGAGTTTAGATGTATTCTGTTTTGCTTTTAATAAAATTTTACCTATCACAAAAATAGTTTGCAAACAAATACTCTATAATGTGTTTGATATGTTTGATGCTCTATTGCTGTGTTGCATTTAGTAGTTAGTATTTCTTCTTCTGTGCACTTGATAGTAATTCTTTTCAATAGTCTAAACTCCATTTCTTTTCCCTATGTGAAATTATTGCAGCTGCCCAAAGTTTTAGGTCAAAACTCAGTTGATAGGGTGTTGTTGGATGCTCCTTGCAGTGGCACTGGGGTATGATTTAGAGTTAGTGGCTCCTCTTTTCTAGATTCTATTAATCTTTGACTAGACAATTTCTATCTATGATGCAGGTCATATCTAAGGATGAGTCTGTGAAGACTTCTAAAACTGCTGATGACATTCAGAATTGTGCCCGCTTGCAGAAGGTATAGATCTGTTTCTATGGCGAGGCATTTTAGATGTATATTTGGATCATTTTCTATCGGTAGTAGTTGCAATGTTATACATGCTTTGATTGAAGTTATCCTAGAAAGATCCACAAGCAAGAATTTTGTTGGTTATTTTGCATCCAAAGTGGTTGCATTATG